ATGCACACAGACACACATACTCTTATTTAGTTCTTGCTCCTTGTTTTGCAGGGCCAGTGCTATTTGGGAAAGTAAGCACAAATTTAAAAGTGTCTGACAACTTAATTTTAACACATTGTTAAGCTAGTTAGTAAATGTTTTTAAATTACAAGTTAACACAATTTTTACCAGTGATAGTTTGATAACTGTTACTGTTTTTCCATGTTGAATTTTCTCAGGCAGAGTCTGTCCTTGGCCAGGCAGTTGGTCTGTTGCTTGGCCCTTTGACCCCTGTTCGTCTTGGGGAGCCCCCGGCTCTTACTGGCCCTCTCTCTACCACCACAGAGCCCGCCAGTATGGGTCTCCCTGAGAGTGTGTGCTGTGGCCACCGGACTGTCCTGGAGCCATTTGCCTGTGATTAGAGAACTCCCGATGCCCTCAGAGTCCCCAAACATGGTTTTCTCTAAGGTAGAGGCCCTGTAGAAGGCCTGGGGCAGTCGAGTATGGTGTGTTTGGAGAACTGAACACAGCCTGGCATTTCTTAAATTCTGTAGTGGGGGTGGCTCTCCTTTCCACTGGTTCTGCTTTTTAGCAGAATGTATAATTAGGTGCTCTTTTCAATTCTAAATGAATTAATCAGTTCACTATTACTTTTTGAGATACTCTCTTGCATATTGTACCTAATAAAAATTGTACTAGGAAGCCATATACTTTATTGGAATAAAAATTGAAGTTAACATTTTAAATGGTATGCTAGAAATATTATTCTGGAATTAAATTTTTCTTAAAGTAACACTTTTTGAAATGTGTGATAAAAAGATCTTTGAAATGTTAAAATTGAAATTCAGAGGTTATCACTTACTGTGCACATGTATTTAATCTTCATGAGATCCTAGTACATTTGCATTTTATTTAGAAGACTAGGGTGGTGGCTTGCAGTCCCAGCTACTCTAGAGGCTGAGGTTGTAGGGTACCTTGAGGCCAGTAGTTCGAGGCTGCCGTGTGCTATTACTGTGCCTGTGAATGGCCACTGGGCAACATAGCAAGATCTCATCTCCAAAAAAAGGTAGTTTACTTATATGATTTCAAGCCGAGAATACAAAATACATATTAAAGTATAGCTTTAATATACCTCCAATAAAGGGGAGAAAAAGTCATTTAAAATATATCTTAATGAAAGTTTATTTCTAAGTTTAACATAGGTCCACAGAAAGGAGAGAAACAATCAAACATGAGACCTGCACAGCTTTTGTTTTATTCAATTGCTAAGGAATTGAAGGCACTTCAAGTTAGAGGCTGGTGTGGGGACCAGCACACTGGCTGGAGATTCCTCCTGTGTTTGCCTTGGTGGCACCCCTTGGCACATTCGCTGGGTCAGGCGATGCCAGTCCTGGACCTCTGTGAGCTGCTGCAGTCAGGTGGTGGGTGCATGCAGGCATCTTCTCGTCTTCCCTCTGCTGTTGCCATGAACAGAAGGGATTGTGCCCTAGGCATTGCTCAGACCTGTCTTTGGATGAATGAATGAACAGTCCTCTAGGTCAGTGACAGAGTTTGGCTATGTCCCATCCAAATCTCATCTTGAATTGCAGTTCCCATAATCCCCATGTGTCGTGGGAGAGACTAGGTGGAGATAATTGAATCATGGGGGCCGTATCCTGTTCTCAGGAGAGTAAGTTCTCACGAGATCTGATGATTTTATAGGGGGCTTCCCTCTTTGCTGGACATTCATTCTTCTTCCTGCCATCATGTGAAGAAGGATGTGTTTGCTTCCCTCTCCCCAGCCATGCTGAACTGTGAGTCAATTAAACCTTTTTCCTTTATAAATTACTCAGTCGTAGGTATGTCTTTATAGCAGTGTGAGAACAGACTAATATAGTCAACTTATGGATTATATGATTTATATAATCAGACATATAAGATTATATAGATTATATAGTTAGATGATATGATTTATATAATCATACGAATAAACTTCCTTATTTTAAAGAGATAAGGTCTTGCCATGTTGCCCAGGCTGGAGTGCCGTGGCCTGTCGCAGACATGATAATAGCACACTGCAGCCTGGAACCCCTGGCCTCAAAAATTTCCCAGCATTTCCAAAGAACAGGAACTGAAACAGTTCCATGGGTGAGAAGGTTTGGGAAATTCCAGCAGGGCTCTGAAGGGCCATTGTTAAACAAGCTCTAATAGGAATAAACTAGGGAAGGGGATAGTTAGCATCTTATTAATGTTTTAATTTACTCGCCACAGAGCAATCATTTCTCTCCCCTCTGTCTCCCTCCCTTCTTTCTACCCAGAGCATCTCTTGGAATTCACTTTTAGATGCTGGATGCTTGAATTCCTCGTGAAATGACTGTTCCTAAATTTAAGTATGCATTAGAATAATACAGAGACTGTGTTAATGCAAGGTGTTGAATCTTCAAAGCAGACATTCATCTAATGTCGAACTTCATTAATGATTCAATAACAAAAACTCTGGGCAGAGAAATGCATCCCATGTTGGCCGGACTGTTCTCAAACTCCTGGCCTCAAGTGATCCACCCACCTCAGCCTCCCAGAGTTCTGGGATTACAGGTGTGAGCCACCGCGCCCAGCTATTCTACATTTTTAGATAGGGGTCCCAGGCTTCTTTCTGCTAGTAAGTACTGTCTGCATGTTTACAAGGAGATCTGGTCCTGGCTCAATCCATTTGTGGGCAGAGTTTGGTTTTTTGTGGTCATAGGACTGAGGTCCTCATTTTCACGTTGGCTGTCAGCAGAGGGCCTTTTTAGCTTCTCAGGGCAACCATGTGGCTTGACTTGTGGCCCCCTCTTCTGTCTGCAACTCCAGCAACAACACATCGAGTCTCTCATCTTTGAATCTGCTCTTCTGCCATCTCCGTGGAGAACGACTCTTCATGTCTGGGGACTCGTGATCGCACTGGGTCCACCTAGACAATCCATCGTGATCTCTGTCCACCCCCAGGCCTTGGATCTTTGACTTCATCACATACGCACAGTCCCTTTTGCCGTGTAAGGTATCACAAGCACAGGTCTGGTGCCTGTGCCAGGGCCTGGGGCCAGGGTTCTGTCGACCACAAGGGCTGTCCCCTATATCAGGTGCCTCCTCACTTTGTATCTATTACTGGGCTGGAAAACCAGGGGCTGTAATCTCGTGATTATGCCTAGCGCCAATGTCTAAAAATCATTGTTACATTTTGTAGGTTTTTCTAGTTGTTTAATGCAGCAGGGTACCTTGGGTCTGTCAATCCACTGTGGCTGGGAGCTTCATCTGATTGATACGATTACCTCTTCACATGCTTTTGCAACACAGGGGTCTATGTTATGCTTCTTCTGCATACTCTAAAGCACTCAGCGGTCTACCTGCTGGGATTACAGCAGGGGTGACCCCCATGCCTTCCTCCATCTTTATGTCGAAAGCAGTGACTGAGGGGCAGTGAAGAGCGGATCTCTGGGCTGTGACTCCAGGCATCCGGGAAGGAACAGGGCGGAGGAAACAATGAAGTGGGAATCGAAATTATGCAAGAACTAGGTTTGGAAAATAATTCAGAGTGAACTTTGTGTTATGTGGGCTTCCTGTCCAAAAGGTCAGTATCCATGTGGACTTTTAAGTGAGGACTGCTATGGCACAGCCTGGGGGGCGAGGGGGGCAGCTCTGCCTTCTCTGCCTCTGTGCCTGGGGCTGCACTTCCATAGCTGCTCCTGCGTGCTGTGGCCAGGCCCACGTGGTGCCAGAGCAGGGAAAAGAGGAGGAAGATGGGCAATTGGCTGGGAAGCAAACCCAACATGAATATCAGAGCATTTCAGGCCATGGATTTTCTGGGGGGTGGCCAGGGGGTGTTAATAAACAGGATGATGAACACTGCTGGAAAGGAGGAGTGAGCCTGAAAATAGCAAAGGGTTTTTCTTTTAAGTTTGCTTCAAACGATGGATTTCAAAGCCCTTTGTCCTCAGGCCCTCCACAGCCGCTCCAACCCTTCCTGGGCTCCTGCTAAACTTCTGCAGCCTGGACCCACGCACAGCCACTGTTGGTATTCCCAGCACAGTGTATGCTCCACACATGTTGTTTCCTGACAGTCCGGTTGATTTGGCCAGGCCAGCTGCTCAGCTGTTTCACAAACACACAGGGCTCAGGACTCAGGACTCCTCTTCAGCCTGAGACCAGCTGGTCACCTGAGGGAGATGGCCCATCTCTGTCAATCATTGGCCCATAGCCTCACCATTCTGTAAGGACCCTGATCGGAGCCTCCTCCTCCAGGGAGCTTTTCCTAACTGTGCCACCCTCCAGCTTTTCTCTGGCACTTGAATTTCAGGCAATGAGGATGTCTCTGCCACAGCAGGTTCGTGCTTGTAACCTGGAATGTCTACTGGGAGGGTCTGCAGCTGTGGAGGGCAGGCGCATTCCTCTCTGGCACCTGCCCGGGCCGGAGCAGCTCATTCACTGTGTCTTGGGAATCGGACTCATAGTCAAACTGCAAATTCTACTGGAGATTCTCACATGCCCACAGGGGTGAATATCACTGACATATATTGTAAACTGTTTAAAGCCCAGGACTATGAATTATACGTTTTCTCTGCACATTCACACTTGTGTAGATTTTTGTTCAGTAAAATCTTTTTGAATTTTTAAAAATTTTGCATAAAGATTTTTGTGCAGATCACAACTTGTGGATTTCTGAGAGCACTTTATTTAAACTATAGATCAGAGATTGGCAAATTACAGCCTCTACCAACCAAGCCCGGTCAGGCCTGTTCAGTTATGTATTTATTCGCTGCTTACAAGCTACACAAAGGCAGGCCTGAGGAGCAGTGACAGAGACCATATGGCCTGCAAAGCCTAAAGTATTTACTGTCTGGTCCTTTACAGAAAGTGGTTGCTGATGCCTGCTCGAAATAGATATTTTAATGTGAAAGAGTGTGCTGTGCATTCTGTCCACACGAGATGGAATGCTGTTCACTAAACTGTCTGGCTCCATAAGAACACTTGTTCTAACGGTGGTGCATTTCACTTTCTCTCCTTAGAGTGACTTCACTTTCCTGCTCCCTCTGTCTGTGAGCTGAAGGGGCTGAGCTGTACACTCCTTTTTCTATATCCAGCCTGCATTTTGTTTTTGCTCACAATGTGCGAGGTAAGATTTTAATTTTTGGCAAGGAGTATGATTTGGGTTCATTGTGGCTACTTGAAAATCGCACCACTGCTAATTCTGTCTTTGTCTCCTTTCCAGGAATCAGTGAATGGTAGCGATTTAGACTCCCCTGAAGATTGTTTCACATCAGTCAATACGACATATTACGACTCACTTGATCCCGAAAACCTGCTGTGCTCCTTGCAGGAGGTCAGGGAGTTCTCCAGGCTGTTTGTACCCATCGCCTACTCCTTGATCTGTGTCTTTGGCCTCCTGGGGAATATTCTGGTGGTGCTCACCTTTGCTTTTTATAAGAAGGCTAGGTCTATGACAGATGTCTATCTCTTGAACATGGCCATTGCAGACATTCTCTTTGTTCTTACCCTCCCATTCTGGGCAGTGAATCACGCCACCGGTGCGTGGGTTTTCAGCAATGCCATGTGTAAGTTGATGAAAGGCATCTATGCCGTCAACTTCAACTGCGGGATGCTGCTCCTGACATGCATTAGCGTGGACCGGTACATGGCCATTGTACAGGCAACTAAGTCGTTCCGACTCCGATCCAGAACGCTACCTCGCAGCAAAGTCATCTGCCTTGCTGTGTGGGGAGTGTCGATCATCATCTCCAGCTCAGCTTTTATCTTCAACCAGAAATACAACATCCAAGGCAGCGACGTCTGTGAGCCCAACTACCAGCCTGTCTCGGAGCCCGTCAGGTGGAAGCTGCTGATGTTGGGGCTTGAGCTCCTCTTCGGTTTCTTTATCCCTTTGGTGTTCATGATATTTTGTTACATGTTCATTGTCAAAACGTTGGTGCAAGCGCAGAATTCTAAAAGACACAAAGCCATCCGTGTGATCATAGCCGTGGTGCTTGTGTTTCTGGCTTGTCAGATTCCTCATAACATGGTCCTGCTTGTGACGGCTGCAAATTTGGGTAAAATGAACCGATCCTGCCAGCATGAAAAGCGAATGGGCTATACGAAAACCGTCACGGAAGTCCTGGCTTTCCTGCACTGCTGCCTGAACCCTGTGCTCTATGCTTTCATTGGGCAGAAGTTCAGAAATTACTTTCTGAAGATCATGAAGGACCTGTGGTGTGCGAGAAGGAAGCACAAGTCCCCAGGCTTCCCCTGTGCCGGCAGGTACTCAGAAACCTTCGTCTCCCGGCAGACCAGCGAGACTGCAGATAACGAGAACGCGTCCTCCTTCACGATGTGACGTGCTGCGCGACAGAAAGCCGAGTCTCCCTAAGGCATTTGGGAAACATACTCATAGATATTATGCAAAAAAAAAAAAAAAAAGTCTGTGGCCAAATACACATGGAAAATGTGGGAATTAAGCAAAATCAGGCAAGCGTCTCTCCTGCGGGACTGAACGTGCTCGTGGGCTGTGTGGTCGCTTCAGGGTGGGGGTGGTTTCTGACTGGCAGCATTTTTCAGCACACTTTACAAGGAATGTTCTGTAGCCCTGGAGTGTATATAGGCCTGGCGTGTCACTAAACAGCCTTTGGGAAATGCTGAATTAAAGTGAATTGCTGACCAATGTAAAAATTTTCAGAATTAGTCACGAAGCAGTCACAGATCACAGGGTCTTGTAGTTAAAACACAAAGTGATCGCATGGTCTGAAAAAACAAAACAAAAGAACCCGCGGAAGCCCACACATCACTCACTTTAGGCAAGTCTTGGAGCATTTTATTTACCAGAATATTTGTTGATGCTGGTTGTCAGCAGCAGAACCAGCTGCCTGGGCTTCCCTCTCATTTCCCTGAAACAGTCAACAAGCCTGACGCCGTGAAATGGAGGCAGAAAGGCAAGCTCAAGTGTTCACAGCCTGGAAGTGCTTCGGGAAGACGGCACAGTGGCAGAACAGGCGTCGTGACAACTGTCACCGTGGATGGAGCGGCTCAGGTCATGTGGGCCATGAGGAAAGTGTCACTGCTTTCACTTTCCTGGGAGCTGTTCTCTGTCATGAGCGACTCTTCTCTAGACAGGAGCTAGAATGATCTTGCTCACAGCTGTGCTCTGCGCACCTAGCAGAGTTCCAGTGAAGAGAAGGGACTCCAGGGATATTTGATTAATCAATCGTAATGAAATTGGGGTTTATTGTGCAGTTTAAAGATTAGATGTTTTTAATTTTTTTAAATAGAATACTTTTTTTTTTTTTAAAGAAAGCAGCTGTACTGAGACAATGTAGAAAGAAGTTTCGTTCTGTGTCTTTAACATGATTGAAGAGCAATGTGTGACTGAAGACTTTTGTTATGAGGAGCTGCAGATTAGCTAGCAGACAGCTGGAATTATGCTGGCTTCTGATAATGATTTTAAAGGGGTTTGAAGTTTGTGATGGAATCAGATTTTAACAACTCTCTTCAACGACATAGAAAGTTTATGGAAATCATGTTTTTGAAGGGTTATGTAAATATATGAACATTAGAAAAATATCAACTTGTGCTACAAAAATATAAACATGTGTTAGGAAAGAACTGTCATGGGCCGGGCATGGTGGCTCACTTCTGTAATCCCAGTATTTTGGGAGGCCCAGGTGGGAGGATCACTTGAGGTCAGGAGTTCGAGACCAGCTTGGCCAACATGGCAAAACCCCCATCTCTACTGAAAATGCAAAAATTAACTGGGCATGATGTCAGGTGCCTATAATCCCAGCTACTTGGAAGGCTGAGAGGCAGGAGAATCACTTAAACCTGGGAGGCAGGGAGTCAAGATCGTGCCACTGCACTCCAGCCTGGGCGACAGAGTGAGACTCCATCTCAAAAAAAAAAAAAAAAAAGAAAGAAAGAAAAAAGAAAATTACTGTTATGAATTACTAAAATATTGACTTGTTTAAACCAGACAAATGTGTTATTTGAAACTTGATATTGTTCTTGTAAGCTTTAACTATATATCTCTTTAAAATGCAAAATAATGTCTTAAGATTCAAAGTCTATATTTTTAAAGCATGGCTTTGCAAAATAAAAAATGTGTTCCGTACATGAAATAGGAATCGTCTTTCAGCTTCAAGGTCCAGATGGAGGGGCCCACTGTCCGGAGAGCATGTCTTCAGGCTTCCTCATGTCCTTCAAATCTGTTAGTGTTTGACTCTAGAGATCAAAGCAAAACGAGTCGTTATTCGGACACTTCTTGCAGTGTGGTCAGCGTGCTGATGTCATCTGTGATGAGGACTCATGCCTGAAGACTGGCACAGAAACATTGCTTATTTGCCAGTGAGCTTCTCTGCATTGTTTCAAAGTTCAGATAAATGAAGCTGACTTCTTTAAGCAATAACCTTTTAAATATTTTAGGTATAACGTATAAAAATGTTTACTTTATTTCTTCTTAAATATAGTACATTAAGTGACATAATTTTTTTGCTGCCTCAGGCATCAGAACAGGTGCTATGGGAACTTGATGCTCTCAGGAGACATTAATTAGCTGGAGGGGGCTGTTCTTCCGTGGTTCCTGTTGATTTTCCCCTTATCTTTTCGCTGTCAGGCTCTGGCCATCTCTTCCTGAATCTGAGCCGAGTCTGCCGTTAGCCCTCCTCTCCACTCAATGCAAACATTATTCGATAGGTTTGGTGGGGAAATCAGCTATCTGCACTTGTCAGAATTGTGTATTCATAGGGGCAATGTGTTAGAACCTCTCAGTATTCAATTATTTCTGGATATGTGAGATTTTTGCCATATGCAAAGTTCAACATTTAGGGATTTAAGCACTACCTTGCAAATTGCACATGATTTGCCTCTAAGGACAGACAGACTGGATTTTAAATGAGGCCAGAAAAACACAACATCTTCAAATCCTTTTAAGACTTCCGGTAATGTGTGGAAGTTACAGGCTTTCTGGAGATACATGTGCAGAGAATCTGGTCCAATGAATGCAGTATGTACGCTACAATGCTTGTTGGCTGGGGCTGCCCCGACAAAATAGCACAGACTGAGCAGCTTAAACAACACCTCCGTTTCTCACATTTCCAGACGCTGGTTAAGGTGTTGGCGGGGCTGGTTTCTCCTGAGGCCTCAAATGGCTTTTCCTCTGTGAGAGCTGAAGCTTCTCATAAGAATGCTAGTCAGATTGGTTGACAGCTCACCCCAGAGGCCCCTTTTAATCACCGGTCTAAAAGCCCTGTCTCTAAATATCATCACTTTCTGAGGGTTAGGACTTTGACATACGAATTTTAAGGGGTCACCATTCAGCCCCTAACATCTATTTCCCTGAAGATAGGTCACCTTTTCACATTAACGTTGATCTGAGACATGGGAGAATGTCTTTCTACATAGTTTCTCCTTTCCACTCAGTTACATTCAATCCCATTTATTTACATTCATTCCCAAACATTCATTCCCATTTTGGCTTTGCAGGCGCAGATCCCACAGAAAGATGACAGAGAAGCGTTGTGGTCCCTGGTTAGACGCCGCCTGCCTATGTAACCTGCACAGCCTTGAGTTCCAGTACCTACCCATGGCGCGGGTTTCAGTATCTGACCCCAGTGCTCCGCCCCCTGCCCTGGTCCCTGCCCTGATGGGTGGCGTTTCCTCCCCTCCTGGTTCTCTTGCAGGGAAGCGGGTAATTTCCCCAAGTCTGAGTGGCCTCCATATTCAAAGCAGAGACATCCCCCTCTTGAGGACCTCAGGATGGAGATCTCAGCTGCGGCAGCAGAAAGCAGCTGTGACAGTCCTGGGGAGGCCAGGTCCTGTTCTGCCCCTGTTTGTATAAACAGAGCATTCACGGCTCATGACTTCAGGGGGGCTCTCTGTTGTCTTAATCTCATTCTTGGAGCACATTCTCCTGCATGATACAGAAGGAGGTGGCATTTTACATTTACCATTAGACGATGTGAGTCATTGCAGCTCCACAGAGCACAGCTGCGCCAATGCATTCATTCCGCAGTCTGCTGGCTGCTCTGTGCAGAACCTCACACGTTCACAATCTTTGTGCTCAGGGATTTCATGAAATAAAGAGGCTGCAGCATTTGGATGAAGGCCACTCTCACTCCGGTGTGTTTGTAGAGCTCAGGGTGGTCTGCCGTGCTTGTGACTCAGCATGCACAGCTGCAATCTGCTTCCTTGCGCTGCGTTTGCCAATAGCATCGTATTCCCGATGCCTTATATGGGGAAATCCATACAAGAGCGAAGGTAGGACCTGTTTATTTTGTACTTCTTGGCTGACTCCTCGCTTCAGTCAGATCCCAGGTAGACCATCTGGGAAGAGGAGCAGAGCGCTGTTCTCACCTCAAGGTTGTCCTCAGCCCAGGGGGCTGCTGTGCCTCCATCCGGCCCATTTCCACTCTAGCCAACAAGAAGCAGCATGGGGAAGCAGGTGGGCTTAAAGACACAGCTGGGAAGCTGTGGAAATCAGTTCTGCTCCCGATGCAGGAGCCTTAACTTAGCCACCTGCTTACGGCCAGGTGAAAGAAATGCTGGGATGCTCTCTACCAGGTGGCCGTGTGTCCACGTGGACGCAGTAACAACAAACATACCTGGAACAGTCTTCCGTGGGTGGTCATGTGACTACACACATGCAGGAATAATAAACTCCCTGGAACGCTCTTCAGCGGGTGGTCGTGTGTCCACACACATGCAGGAATAATAAACACCCCGGAACGCTCTTCAGTGGGTGGTCATGTGTCCACACACATGCAGGAATAATAAACACCCCGGAACGCTCTTCAGCGGGTGGTCGTGTGTCCACACACATGCAGGAATAATAAACACCCCGGAACACTCTTCAGTGGGTGGCCGTGTGTCCACACACATGCAGGAATAATAAACAATTCTGGAACACTCTTCAGCAGGTGGTCATGTATCCACACACATGCAGTAATCACAAACACGCCATGTAGGAAAAGGGAGAGATACTGAGAAAACAGTTTTTACGGAGGGCAAACAGCCAGACTCCTGTCTTCCAACAGAGGGGAGGATCTGTGTCTACACAGCGGTAGATGAGGAGCAGCCCAGGCAGCCCACGAGGCTGAGGCCACTCAGCTCAGGAGGTATTGCTGGCCCTGTGCAGCAAGGCTGAGGTCACCCAGGAGGTGACCTGGACATGGGGTCAGGTCGCTGGGGCCTTTCCTTCTGTATCCCACCAATAATTACCACTGAGCCCACGGCCGGTCCATGCGAATGCCCAGAATACTGCATTTAGAATTAGTGTTAACATTTGAATGAGATTTCATTTTCCTGCCTAATGTTGAAAGATGAACTGGATACCTGGATTTCAAAAGACATTTTAGGGTCTCTTTCTGAACCTAGAATGTAAACAGATCAGCTAGCTCCTGTCTCCACACCAGCGGGAAGCAAGTGTGTTTCCTAAAGTCTTGGCTTTACCAGGAGCTGGAGCTCCTGAGCCGGCAGGGGTGCCCCTGCCTTGGGCGGGACGCTGCTGCCCTCTGGTGTGCGGGTCGCCTCCCAGCGCCTGCATCTGCTCCAGGAGATGCTCCCCTAGACTGTTGCCCCAATTCTGCAACATTTCAAAGGATAAATGTCACATGTATGTCTTCCTAGGGAAACTTTAAAATTTACTTTGAATAACAAGTACGTGAAATTAATAGAATCTTTTG